GATAAATGAAAATTCAAGACCAGGTATGGAAACCTTAGGGATAGGAGGCTCCAATTAACTATATATGAACTTCTGATGTGTTATTTCAATTCAAAAATTTTCTACTGAAAGGAGTTAGTTAGATGATAAGCACGAGCTCCATTGCTAATGGAAAAGTATGATTATATAGGAGCAAGACATAACAGTACTAATTAAATAAATTAAAAATTTCAGCCTAGCATTGTGACCATGTCACGATAAATATTTGCTCATTGTGATTACTAATGCTTTTTCATTATATTTTCTTGTTTTTTTTTTTTTTACACATTAACAGTTAAATTGGCCGTTATGACGATATGAAATTTGTTGATTTTTTTTCTTTTTTTGCCTTAACAGATTGTTTTTGTAACAAACATTTGTTTTATTTCTTCTTCATTTGAAATCACTTGCAAATATAGACAATCAAGAACATATTAAACCAACTTTCGTAATATTCAAAAATATAATGTTATAACATCAAAAATTTTAAATGTCTAATTGAGTGTATGTTTTAATATTAAAAGTTCTATAAAAATATAATGAAATCAAATTATAGATTATGACAAAATTAGTATAATTAACCTCAGGAGTGCCCTTATATTGGGACATATGTTCCCTTTTTCACCTGGGTTGCCCATTATCAACAAACGACAGAAAATCCATGATTTCTAGCATATTCTGCAAATACACAAGAAATTAATAAATGGTATTTGTCCATTGTTCCATGCAAGCTATTCCAGCTATTTTTATGTAGTAGTTTGTTGCATGTTGATCAAAACCACATTCCTTGTTTCGAGGCCTGTATGACTATTTTACTCTAAGGAAATGTGATAGAGAGTTATATTTCTAACTCTACATATTTGCCGTCCCTCCATCTTTTGAACTGAGAATCTGTTTCTGAACCATTTGTCAGCCTGAGCTAGAAATTCTCTGCCTTTTTCAGATAATCATGACACCTTTAATGCACTGTTTTTATAAACATGGATACACAACAAATATTAAAAAATCTTCAAGTTTGCTTGTATGGCAGTGTCGTCTTAGAAATTATCCGCTCTCCAAAAATTAACATTTTCTTTGAGTTCAACATTGCCGGACACACAAGAATTTCAATGAGAGCTTTAAATTTCCACATGCCAAAATCACATTCAGCCCACCAGTCGCTAAATAGATAACATCATGGATTTGCACCTGATCAACAGGATGGCCAAATGTAAGTTTTTCAGGTTTCCTTCGTGTGTCTAAACCAACTAGGATCCAGTTTCCCATTAAAACCTTCCTAAGAGGCATTTTCTCTTGGCAGATTGCCCATATGTTGCGATTTTGGATTGAACACATTCTCTAGGCTAATTAATATGAAACACCATACAAACTCTTCCAGCAAAATAATATGTATTGGCATCATAAAAATGAATGTTTTTGGCTTTTAGGAAGGCCCACATCAGGCATCAATCATTACAGAACATTCAGCTTTTGAAGACTTTCAACTTATTCTCTAGGCTTTAGGATTTATCTATTTTTGTAATTTTACTTTATATTTAATTTTTTTAAATGCCATTAGTTAGTATATATTTGAATCTACAATTTTCTATTGCTACATTATCTGAAAATATTGACACAGACATAATCTCATCATATTTTTTATTAAGTCCAGATCAAAGGTTCATATAATAATTAAGATTAACTAAAAAAAAAATTGATTCATTAAAAACATTGTGGTCAACTACATCCATAAACCTGTTACCAGTGTGAAACTCAAATAAAAATGAAAAAACAGTTCCTCACAGACACTTTCGAACCATAAACGGTTCTTCTGAGGATGTAGTTAACTTTACCCCGGTGTTGATTATTGCTGTTATTTAACATTTTGATCTGGAATTGACAAAAAGTTATTAACTCAGTATGTCACTATTAAGAATTAAGAAGATTTAAATTCCAACCCGGTGTGTTAGGAAGTTAAATAATGCCACTATTAGTCTGAAACAGTGAAAGTAAGTAAGTACACCTACAAATTTTACATGTCATTATGGTCTGACAGAAGATGCATTTATTTCAATGAATCATGTTATCTATTTTATCTAAGTCATAAAATATGGCAGATGAATTACAATATTAAATATTCAATTTTTAGAAACAAATCTTAATGTATGTCTATTTATGTAATTAGAATTGAAATAATAATGAAACAAATTTATTATTAATCCATGCAGATATTTATTCCATAATATATAACTTTCGTCTCATATTTCCTAAAGGAAACAAGCAAGTATCAGTGAGTATACATGAGATATTAATCTCTATCAGTAAAAACATTTTGTCAAAACAGATTTGAAAAACAGAAATAGAAATAAAATTCTCCACCCTCAAATGATACTTGTTTATACATTTGTTTGACTCTCCAATGTAAGAGAGTTGTTTTTTTAGGAAATTTTTCTAAATTGTTGCTTTTTCCATGAATAAATAAAATCATAGCATTTAAAACTTCTAAGATTAAAATCAAGAAATAATGGAAAGTTATGCAAATATATAGAAATTTATATTACAATCAGAAGTATATATGATATATTTCATTTATAACAAAAACTAACAAAAACTAGATATTAAAACAAGTTTTCACAATGTTCTTATGTTGGATTGATATTTTGTTTCTTTGCCTATCTGGAATTTTCAGACAGGTAAAGAGCATTCGTTTTTCAATTTAATCTCAGGAGAAATGCTGTGAAATAGACAATGTAACAATGTATTAATATCCACAGAATAGAACTATTTGTCCCGAAATCTGAATCATTGGAATACAGTTTTAAGCTCATCTTCTGATTGAAATTGCTTTCACCAAAGTATTTCTTCAATGGGCCAAACAGATGAAAGTCTGAAAGTGCTAAATTGGGACTATAAAGGGATGCAAAAGGATTTCCCAACTAAATATTTTCATTCCCTGGTTTTCTGAGCAGTGTGCAGCTGTGCATTATCCTGCGGGAAAAGCATGACTTTTGATAACAAACCATGCTTTTTGTTGCAAATTGCTTTATGAACAGAATCCAAAATACCACAGTAGTACTGACTCATTATTGTGGTTCCTTCTGGTAAAAATTCAACATTCATTTTATGATCCTAAAAGACAAATGCCATGGCTTTTCTATTACTCTCACTCTGTCAGTAGATGAATTTGCTGCATTTAAATTTAAAAATTTTTGCATTCTCATTCCATTTTGTTTATTTGCCTGATCATGATAGTGTTAATTATCAAAAGTGCTTGCAATAAAATTTTGAAAAACAAAAGTATATTTGGTGATTTAGTTGGTGACTTTAAACTTTTTTGGTAGAGAGAATCCTTTACGCTTCCTCTCAACCAACCATGTCACAGAGACTTTAGCATTACTACATACATTTTCTTAATTTTTTCAGCATGTCCAATATTTATGGATGTTTGTTTCACTCTTTCATGAACAGTTACTCAAAATGAGTGATATTCGTTCAATGCATTGAATATAGACATCAGTCACTGTTCTAGTGTTGTTTCAAGCAGATTTGTATCATTCATACACTTGTAAATTCTTCAGAGTTTGTTCTCCAAACTGGATGCTGCAAGTCATTGCAAAATTTTTTCTTGTAAGCAAAAATGTCAACCAGCAAATAAATAATATGTTGTGCAATAGCTTCACTGGGTGCATCATCTACCATTATGAATAACTGACAACATAGTTGCTGTGACATCATGCTATTCCGACAGAACATTCTTACAGATGTATTTAAATGTAAATATGACATGATTGATGTAAAAATACAAACAGTATGCAGTTACTTTAAAAAATTCTGATTTTGATATAAACTTCCATTGAATATTATGAATATGAATTTTGTTAGACAGTTTACAAATTACTCTTAAAAATCTTTTTATCTAATTCATAATTTTCAAAGACATTTTGTTGTCATCTTCAGATCAAATTCTTTAATTTTTTATGATAATTTGTTTCATAAAATAACACTTGCACATAGCTAAACAAACTGCAGTTTAAGGCCTTGCATTATGAGTCTATAGCCTAAGGACCTCATATTTTTACATGCATCATTATTTAGTGAAGGAAAAGGATCTGTTTTATGTTATAGCTTAGGTAACAATAAGTCTAAGTCCAGCCTTGATTATACAAAACAACAATAACAGAAGAAAAAATTAGAGCAGACTATGTATAAATATATTGAATCACAGGAATTTCAAATTAAATGATGTTGATTTAAAAATAAAATATTGGAAAAATTATTCTGTTGAAGATGGTGACAAAATCTTTATAGAAACTATACCGTAGAAAGCATTTTCAAAGTTCATAATAGAATTTAACTACTATTAATTTAATTATCATGTATTATTACTTTTTCATTAGCAGTCCTAGAGTACTAATACTCATACTATTTAATTTGATTTAAATTTCTTTAAAGCATTATTTACACTTTTTCATAAGAGTGGAATAGGATAGTTTGATACTTCTATTATTTTTATAGTCAATTTACAGATATTCAATGTTATAGACAATACTGAATGTCCGTCAGTGCTTAAACATTTGATGTTATCAAACACCAGCCAAATGAGAAACCTAAGGTTAAAGTATTTAATTGCATAATAAAGAACAAACTAACTTATGATGAACACAGAAGACAAAGATTTTCAACAGAAATAGCAATAGAAACACTAGATAAATTTAATTTATTTTATAAAATTATTGTTGAATTTTCCATATAAATAGTAAAAATTGATTCTATGATGTAGGAAATAAATGCTGGAAGTTGCAAAGACATACTAATAATAATAATAATAATATATATCTTGTCTATATCAATTAGCCTGTGGTAAAATTGGTTTTGTTATATATCATTTTGCTTAATGTCAATTTCCAAGAACCTATTGATGACATTAAGGACTTACTAATTATAAGTTTATTAATGTTTTAATAAGCTGCATTATTAAAATTTAAAACTTTTTCAAAATATACCTGAAATAGGAACACGTAGTCTGACGCTATCTGCATTTCGGATGCGATGTAAGGCCAATGCCACCACATGTTGACACCAAAAAATATCTTTTGTGCCACAGCTACAAGTCACAGAAGTTATTTTACACCTACAAAAATAACAAATATACATGTATATTTTATTCAAATTCATTTTAAAAATTACATTCTCCTATTAAATATATTTAAATAATTTAGTCATATTTAAACTTCATACATTTGTATTAAATAACTTTTTAAAAACTAATAATAATTCCATAAACAAAAATTACATTTTGAAAAATTCATTACATGAAATCATAAATACTAAAAGTTTATATAAATTGTAAATAAGAAATTTTATTTAATTCACTTTAATAGGAATTGCATAATATGTTTTTCATCAAATCTCAAGACATTTTAACAATACCGAAACCCACTTCAAAGCATTACGCATGCTGATATAAATTACTCGGTAATTAAACTGCATATTTATTTATTATTAAGTTCAAACTATTACCCATTACATAATAATATACAAAATGAAATTAAAAGTCAATCTTAATTCTAAATTGCTGGATTATTTTCAGATACATTTAACCTAATTTTGATAAATTAAATAACAAAATTAGCCTAAAGGTTGATAGTTTTTATGATAAACTTCATTATTTAATCGATCAAAATTAGCTTAAATACAGCACAAAAATATCCGACAACTTGAAATTTTGTTTCGGTTATTTTGTATATTTATATAAATGAAAAGTTGTTATTAGAATAATTAAAAAATTCTGATAATTATGAAAAATAATTTACAATTCTTTTTTGATTTTATATTATGTTCAAGATTGATGTTATTAGATTTGAAGATCTGTAAATCAGAACAAAAATAAATATCACTAATGCTGAACCTTATCAACTTTAGTACTTTTTTGTATTCGCCCTGCTATGACAGTTGAGGCTGACAGCGACTTACGAACCAATGGTGAATGATATAATGAACTGATAACATTTTCGTAATATTGTAGAAATTCCCAACTCCCTGTGGTGAGAGTTGGAATGACAATAACCAAACCAGAGTTAGAATTTAACAATAGCTTGTATCTAGTATACTCTTACTGGTTTTGTATAAAATTTTAATATGTAACATTAGGTCATTTGTTAGAGAATTTTGATAGCTAGCAAAAGAACCTGGATTTGATTCCGTAGCTCGGAACAATCCTGTCAAATCGGAACATCTGGAAATTCTGTTCGAGATAATTATATATTCTTCTGTCACAGATAACTGCTTGAATAATGAATATACAAGAGTTAGAATTTATCATTAATACTTTGATATAAATAAATTTCTTGTTTTTACATTTTAATAAGTTTAAAAAATTATTTTATATTTTCAAATATATATTCAGATTTATTGATTGTTGTTATTAGTTTAACATATTTACATACATAAATATATTTCTGTATTATAAATGTCTTGTGTCACCTGCAATATAACATTTGCAAAGTTTACATGTACATATACACTACAGGTGGTATTTCTCTATAACAAGCACGTTAACAAAATCTGTTTACTGATCTGAAACCCGAGAACTTTGTTATGCCTTTATAATAACAAAATTTATCAATTTTCAGAACATTTCCGAACACAATAATAAAATCTACGTAATCAATCAATGTATTCCTGTGTGATTGAAGTTACTAAAAACCAAAATTTCGGCTTAGTAAATTAAAAGAAACTAGTAATGTAATTAAAATTAAGATTACGTCTGTGTTTAGTATACAGCAATATCTCTATTGTTTGGTTTTCACTGCAAGATTTTGGATCCAATCCATGCTTTCACAGAAATTTTAAATAATAGATTCAAAAATATCAAGATTGTTCATAGGCTGCAAAAAACCTAATGGACTAGCCTACAGATCAGTTTGGTCATATCTGAGATAAAAGTAAATGATATCCTCGTGAAAAGATTCTGCGTCACTATAGAATATACGAAACTTTTAAATCATTCGGTATAGTAAAAAAATCATTAACAAAAATTTGTTATCTATGATTCCATCGATCCTGCTAATTCTAATAAATAATTGGTATTATAATGTGCTAATAGCTAACTTTTTTAGATATCATACTTAAAAATTTGAGATAATTGACTGGAATTTAATATTAGGGTTCAAATAAACTCATGATTTTTTTGGGAGGGAGAGAGTGGATTTCTATCTTTCATAAAATCAATATGATATCATACAATTGGTTGCACAATACAACAGATTTTGGAATACTGCCTGAAAATCTGATAAAACAACTGGATTTATCAGATTTTTAGAAGTTTTAAGTTTTTAAACTTATCTGTATATCTTTCTATATAATTTTCATCAGCTACCCTTTTTACTTAAACAAGAGAAAATAAAAATTCAACTGGGTTAAAAAAATATTTTTGTTTTAGATTTTTTTCATTATAAACTTTTAAAAGCGTAAAAACTCTTTAGGTGAATGTTTTGGGCTGGTCCTCTTTGGCTTTTCTTTTTGCAAAAGATCTTAAAAAGAAATCATACCAAGGAGAAAAACAAAATGGCACTTTTGAAAGGAGAGAAAGGATGTTTTTTTTTTTTTTTCTTATAAATATTGTCTTGTTACTAGAAGACTTAACTGGTAATTATTGTATGATGATTTATTGTGTTGTATAATTTCTCATACTAATCATAACAGGATAGTTCCCTCCATCTTTCTGCTTTACTTTATACTTAATTTTAGTTATAAATTCTCTTTTCATTAAATGAGCAAGCTGTTATGCCAATCTTGTTTTCATTGTTTACTTGTCATACATGTGTATTTCTCATTTCTTATCTGTACGTGTTTAGAAATGACAGAACATTTAAATATATAAAATTGTATATATATTGTAATTACCAAAATTTTACTTTTGTTAAGAAATGATAGTTATAATTACTTTCAATTCAATTCTAATAACTAGCTGTATATAATTTCTGACAGATAATATTTGATTAATCGGAGAACTTTTTTCTGAATAAAAGAGCCCTCAAAGATTGTCATAAACTTATTATTAGAACTAGATTATCTAACAAAGGAATAAGAAATTATACAAACAATTCTTCTAAATTCTTCAAAAAGTGACTTTTTTTATTATTATTAACTTGAAACCAGTTTATATAATTCAACACAAAAAATACTCTAGAACAAATTATATTAGTAAAAGAACTAAGAATACATTATAACATTCAAAACTGGATTAGCTACATATTTATCAACCTTCACAAAGAGAAAGTTTGATGGTTAATTATCTAAATCACAATAACCTGTTATAGTAAAAACTTTAAAGGAAATTAAGTGCTAATGAAAATCAGAACCGCAAAATACAATCTGCTTTAGTTTGTTAATAATTAGTTTTCAAGCACTACGAAGGTTATTCATAAGAAACTTTTTTTGTAAACAAGTAATTCATCAAAGATGATAAAATTGCAGCAAATGCTTTAACAAAATAATACACATACAGTACATTATTTCAGAAAGATACAATCATAGCAAAGAAATGTTATGATTAAATTATCATAATTAAATTTTATATTTAGAATAAAATAATCTTTTTTAGTTCCCCAATAATGCATTTAAACAATCTAATGATTTACATGTGAATAAGATATTGCAACTGCTTATTATTCATATACTGTATAACTGGCATTGTCTAACTTTAGTGCCAAATACATTAATAATTCATTAAAAAAAATTGCCAGGATGAATTCACATATAGAAAAAATATATTTCTTTTCGGACTATACATATAATTGAGTCCATCTTCATCTGTCCCTTCACCCGCTTAGCAGAGGCAATAACAAATCTACGGCAATACCGACCTTTTATTTCAGGCTACATGTCCGCCGTCCAATGTAAATGAGTTAAAAAATCCTCTAGCGGAAGATGGACTCAATTATATGTATAGTCTGAAAAGAAATATATTTTTTCTATATGTGAATTCGTCTTGGCAATTTTTTTAATGTTAATATTAATTTAATAATTGTGCTGGTCACCGTTAGAGGATTTTTTAACTCATTTACATTGGACGGCGGAGCCTCAAATAAAAGGTTGGTATTGCCGTAGATTTGTTATTGCCTCTGCTAAGAGTGTGAAGGGACAGATGAAGATGGACTCAATTATATGTATAGTCCGAAAGGAAAGATTAATAACTCATTTTTTAGATAAAAATTATACAGTATATTTAAGTTGTTTGATTAATTTATAGAATTTTTGAATGTTTACCCAAATTATGGCAATACAAATCATCTTGACAGACATATTTTTTTATTTTTTGATGACTTTCTTTGTTAATTATATCCAATATTTATTTTTTTCTCTTTGCACTCTATTGAGTAATACTAATTTCAGAATATAATTAATAATATATGCATAATAATTTATTTATAAATGGATAAAAAGTCAACATGTTGACAAGTAATAGTTAATTTCATATGATATTCTTTAAAACATCTTTCAAATAATGCTAACTTTCAAATTTATTAAATATTTTTTCATATATTGAATATTGCATAGTTGCCGACTCTCAGTCTTTCAGGGTGATATTCCACTTGAACTAGAAATTTTTCACTTTTTTGAGGTAATATAACATCTTTAATCCATTATCTTCATAAATTTGGATTTATTGATACAAATAATACTAAACATCCCAAGTTTACTTGTACGACTGTTCTTTTAGAAATTGTCCATTCTTCAACACTATTTTCTTTTGAGTTCAACATTGCTAGACATATGAGAATTTCGACCCTTTAAATTTCTAATTAAATTATGAAAAATTTTGTCTGAAAACATAGAACCTATACAACATCTTACACTTTGTGGCCCAAGAAAACTTATCTGAAATTCTGGCAACATTTGATTCTTTCTCAATACCACAACCACAATGACAATAGTATACTCAGAACAATGACAGCTGTATGGCTGGACAGTTAAGGTGTCAGCCTACTATTTTGGGAAATCCAGGAACAAATCAAAACAGATTGAAAACCCAGGAATTTTTGGGGGTGGTCTGTGACAGATATGTCAGGACCTTATCTGAAAGTCCTATCCTTCATCACCCAGTCACTCCATTGTGAGTCTGGGACC